CATTTCTCCACCAGGGCCTTTCTTTCCAAAGTCTGAAAGCTCCTCCTGGGCGCCTGCTCTAAATCACTCCCCAAACACAGAATGATTTTCTGCAGAGAATTCTTCCACCTCCACCCCATCCTCTTGACCCCAAACCGTTTCAGGTAAGGAAAGGAGAAAGTGGAAATGGGCTACCCTCTGGCCCTGGAACCTGGCAGGGCCTCCCTGAGATCCTGCAGCAGAGATAGCACCCCACCTCAACCTGCTATCCCCCACTCCAGGCTTATCTCCCAGATAGAAATAGGCGTGCGCCCTCCTGTCCGGCCCACCCTCGGAGTTCAAACGAGGATAACATTCGTTATGAATGACTTTTATCCCTGGCCAAATCGATGTCTCTCCGCTAATTTCTAGTCCCAGCCCACTCCCCTCTCCTGGATCTAGGGGCCATCACCTCCTAGGGCTACCGCTGAACACACCTGTCCCTGCCACACACACCCTAGATCAGCTCTTCACACAAAAAGAAGCCAATCTCACCGGGCTCTCAACGGGCGCCCAATGTGCACACGTCATAAACGTTTCTAATCTCCAAACGCAATCATTCCCGCCCCCCCCCAAACAAAAATAGCAGAGCCCTGGATGGGTCTGTCGTTTTGCCCGCCCCATTCTGAATGCCTTTAAGGTTCCTTGAATAAAGATAAGAGAGGATTGTGTACGTTTTTTGCACAAATGGTGGAAAGCAATAAAATAAACATCAAAGGTGAGCTCCCACGTAGTCGCGGCTCTGTCGCTATTTGTAACAAAGGCAGGAAAAAGGAGGGAACTTCGTGGTAGGGCAGCGGGTTACAAGTGCACGCTTCCCGGGGGCCAGGGCGCCCTTTCCCTGGGGTACCTACACCGCGTAGGCGGCAGGCCCTGAGCGCCCTGGGGCGAGGCAAGGTCTTCCCTTTCCGGACTACCGACGCCTGTGCCACTGAAGCCATGGCACAAATCCTAAAGAAAAGGACTGGCAAGAAAGGGCCAAGCTCACGTCGTGTTCTCGCCTGCACCGCGCCAGGTCCTCAACCCCACCACACACGTCCCCCATCCCCACCCCCCAGTCTTTGACTGTCCGAACCCAGATAGCGCTGCGGAGCTCGGCCTCCGTCCGGAGGGTCCCGCAGGGCACAGTGGCAGGCAGAGCTTGCCACTCGGTCCCAACACAGCCGCCCTGGAGACAAGGGGTCGCTGCGGCTCTCCAGCCAGGTAAAGAAAATGGTCAAGACAAAAAGAAAAGTGAAAGTCGAGCCCATTTAGCAAAAGGCAAGGTCATTTAAAAAGGACCCAGACAGTGTCAAACCCGGACTATTATGCACTAAAATAAACAGAAAGACAAAGGTAGTTCTCAAAAGGGAATTATAGGAAGAGAAGGCCGAAAGGCGCCCCTCCAAAGGGTGCGCTTTCAGTGCTCCGTACCTCGGCGGTGACAGGGCTTCGCTTTCCTAAGAAGCACGGCTGGCACTACCAGAGACGCGAACACACGCCAGGCGCAGCCCTGGAGGGCCAAAGGTCCTGCTTCCCCCGGGCCCATCCTTTCAGGTGTCCCTCCAGGGGTATCCTGGGGTGGCCCCTGGCCAAGCACACTCGCTCAAACCTCCCCCAAACTCCAGGGGCGGAGACCCCACCCCGGCCGGGCCGCCGAGGGCCTGGCGCTCACACCTGAGCGAGGAGCGGGCGGGCGGGGCCGCGGCACACGCGCGCACACACGCACACTCGCAGACACGCGCGCACCCCCAGCCGCGCGCCCGCTCCTCATTGGCGGGGGGGGG